AATCTACTAAATTGGGACGATCTTTACCAAATTAGCGTCCAAATTATCAAAATGTATGACCATTAAGCGTATAAATATTTTCTGGACCACCCAACGTTAAAACTTATTTATTTCGAATGGTTTCTAGTCTATCAGTCATTAGTTTATTGTGTTATGAGGGAAAATCTTTTTTTTTTTTATTATTACCTTATTTACCAAAATTGCAATTACTTACAATACCATCTCCATATATTTTAGATTCTGACTTACTTGCCCATAAAAATCCTAATATGTTTCTATTTTTTGTCCACCATTCTTATCAACCAAAGACAAAACAAATTAATGCTACCATTGAGAAAACATGATTTGACTTCAAATAGCTTTAGTAACATACAGATTTTCCAAATACCAAAGAATATTAAAAATGCATAAAACCTTTAGAAACGCTTTAAAGAATTCATTAATTAATGATGTTTTTAAAATAATGCGAGTTTTGTAAAAATTTGGTTCGATCGTAGTTTATTTAAGCATTAATATTAGTGTTTTTATTATCATAAAATTTATAAGTGTACAAGTAATTATTTATTTATTTGTATTTATTTTGGTTATGTAGATAGAGTACTCAAATAGTAGTCAAATCTGATCAGTATTTTGCACTAATATTATCAGCATAAAGAATTGCTATTATTTTTAAAGATCGTTTTCCATACTATAGAAAAAGATACAAAGGTTTTGATAATGCCTTTTAGTTCAGAAAAAATAAATGTAAAATTTAATGCATAAGTTACAAAAATATTTCCGAACTATCTTATTTAAAGGAATTGGCAAACAATATTCGATGTTAAAATAATATTGAAAATTAAGATTTTTTTGTTTTCTGTGTTTTTAGACATTAGCTCGAACAAATATATCATATCTCTTATCAGTTCAATTGATAATACACGGTTCAAAAGCAGAGACCTGTGGACTCTGGAATGACCGACAAGCCTATCATAAAAATTTGTAAAGCAGCGTTTAAAATCTTTTTTAAATTTTAGTATTCTACTAGTAAATCTAACCAAAAGCAAAATTCAGTTTTTTTAATAAAAAATAACAAACAAAAACAATCATCACATACACATGTTTTTGGGGGTGTGATCTGCTATGTGATCTACCAAGGATTTCGAGAGCTTATTAAATAAAGAAGATTTTGTGAAACTTGCCAATCTCTAGGAAATTTTGTCACAGTACAGAGGATTTTTGAAAGTCATTGAAAATTGTCCAATGTTTAAATTTTATAGGTTTGAACTCGCGAAACGGCTATCATTTGAGCTGCCAGGGCCCAGTACATGACTCAATATTTACACAACCTAACGTAGATTTTAAATAACAACCTCAATTTTGATGAAAAATGCATAAGCAACAAAGAAAATCTTTTGTTTTGGTGAAATCCTTTAAAAAAATATAAATAAATAAAAAATCGTATCTTCTCGATGGAGTGAGTTAGAAAACTCGTTTTTGCTGCATTCTTCTTCATTTTCACCCTATCATACCCAATTCTTTTTTTTTTTTGCATTAAAATTCTGCACCGTGCAAACTTTATGGTTAGAAAGTTAAGTGGCCATACAGTCAAGTCTCTAAATCTGCATCCTCGAAAGTGAAAAAGTCAAATTTTTGAAAAATTAAATCTTTAGGGCTGGCAGACTGTGTATCATTTTTTAAGTCGAGGAAGCAAACGTTTCCTTTTAAATACAATGTTCCTTTTCAATAATTTCGAACAGTTACAATTTCGGTAAGTCTACTTATCTATTTGTAAACTCAAATAACTCATAAAATGAAATAGAATGCGTTAATGAATATTTACATACATATTGTACGCACGACAGAGATATGTTTTTCTACCTAGTTGTATTAGCATTGATTTGGTTGGTAACAAGTGAATGAGAGCAATTATCTCATAAGTAAAATTTATTTTTTACCGGCCGCGCAAATCGAGGGTATGCTTGAATAACATCATAACTGGTGGTACGACTGAAGCAAGTGGCCTAAATTGGTTCTAACCGTTTATGTAGTAGCGTTTCATAATGCGATAAGTATCAACAAGTCAAGATATAATTTAAAACATATTTTAAATATTAAAAAAACCTACTTATTAAGACAACTTCATTCAATTTCATTAATTGTAATTAACTGATTACAAATTGTAAAAAAAGGTTCTTACAAAAATTTAATTTATATCAAAGGAAAACCTTCAAATCGCAATCCTAACGAAATTGTAGGTACTTTTTTTACTTATCCAGTTTTGCCCCGAGGGTGCAGGAATTATCTGCCTTGTTATCACCACTTGTTACATAACTAGATATGTAATCCCCTTATAACGCCTATTAGGGAGAATTTATTTTTAAAAAATTTGAAAATTGGCTAATAGGTTTTTATAACGGTGGAAAAATTGGATATACATTTTAAAACAATACTTTTTTTTCTAGCGAATCTATATAATATGAACTACACACGTTTTAGTTTTAGTGTGATAATTCAAAATAAAAATACAACTATGTACGGAATTGAGAAAACACTACAAAAAGTAAACTGTTTTAAAGGGGCGGATAGCATAAAACCTTTACTTTTGTTTTTATCAGGTTGTGCAAGCATACGGAATGTTGGGGATGAACATTGCAAACGTGCAAAATGCATTTAATATATCAAGTGTTGTTTTCCATCATCCCCAACATTCTGAATAATGTAAAAGAAATCGCAGAAATATCACGGTTGTCAAGAGAGGAATATGTTCTTTTAAAACCGATTCCAATTTAATTTTAGAAAAACTGTGTACTAAAAGATTTATGTCGGGTTTTTTTTAGCTTTTTTGCAAGAAAATCTAGAACCTAATTGAAAACGAGAGTCAAGTATAAATTTGTAGCTAGACCTGAATATTTATAGAAAACTTCTATGATGTTTACTTTGGTCTTTTCCTTATTTAAAGACATTTTAATCAGTTATGGAGAATGCCGTACCAATAAAGTTGTGTAAGTATGAATTAATTGTACATTAAAAAAATATTGAAAAAGGCGAATATTAAGGAGAGAAAAACATAGAGTACTCTCGCCAAGCTTGCAAGATCCTTCATCAGGACTTAAAAATGTTTCTAATAAATGGCACTGCTAACAAATATAGCCGTCCACTTAAATTGTTAAAAATTATGGCTTCAACAATAATGAAATTTATGAACTTTGTTTATTAAAGTGAACGAGATCTACCACCCGACTGGCCTAAGTCTATAGGCCTAAATTTGAAGTCATAATTTGTAAAACTTTAAGTAGATTTATATTCGATAAATGTGTTACAATTAGAAATAGATTCAAAGTCCGGAGGGGATTCAATTGAAAGCTTGACGAAAGAATTGAGGATTTTTTTTTCTTTCAAATTCCTCTTATTCCTGAATTTTAATATACGATCTAAAAAGTATGAAAATACATAAAATCTAGAATAATATATGTTTATATACTTTTATGTACTCCACGTATGTAATTTAATGTATTATAGAAATGTTGAAAATCATAACAAAATTTGGCGAAATATATTTTGAGTTTGGAATTTAGCCTAATTATTTATTAATTTAATAATAAATAAATAAATTTAATTAATCGTTTATTAATTTGTATTATAAGGCTTAATTGCAAGCTCCTTTGTACAAGATGGTAGGGTTTATAGCGATATAATTTTTCTTTTTTTTTGCATCATCCCTGATTTTTAAAAAGAATTATAATAAAGCTGAAATCAATCACATCAATTTAATTTGTATATTATTTTCTCTTTTGTTTTTTATTTAGAATTTTTTTAGTAGATTTATTTATAATTATCTTTTTGTTTTATAAAATTTCAAGGGTCTTACAAGCAATACGAAGGGAATGATTGGTGCTATTTTTGTATAAAAAACAACTGTTTTGTTTGTTTGACATATTTAGAAAAATTGAGGAATATTATTAAATAAATTGTAAAATAAATTATTTTATTGAGTACTAATCATTTCTCACGAAACCGGTTTCACTTTAATTTTATGATTTGTTGAAGCCGTGAGGAGCGGTCACGTTTCTCATTTTTTTTGCCGGCGTTTCGACCTTTATTCCGGTCGTCTTCAGAGCATAAAGTGAGGTGCTATTCTTGTGGTGTCATATTGCGTTTTTAACGTCTTTAATTTTATGAAAACTCCGAAGCGAATGTTATATATATAGTCATTTTTTAGTCGTCTTGTTTGTAATAGATGATTTTTAATCGTTTTAAGAAGATTCCTACTCACAGTTAGTATTTGAGCATGAGAGTCTTAATTTTTAATAAAGATTTAGGAGTTTTTGTTTACTGGTTTTAAGTAAGAGGCAGTAGTGTCACTAATTGCGTTATAATCCATTTCTCCTTTGTCTAGCAAATTACTAGAAATGATAAATAGTGGAGTTATCATTTATATTAATTTGCTAGTCAAAGCGGAAATGGATTAGAACACAATTAATAATACTACCTCCTTTTACTTAAAATCACCCATTAAACAAGAACTTAAGTTTAAACTTTATTATATCATTATCATTATTTATCATTTCTGTCTGATTTTTTGTCCAAAAAAATTTATCTGTACAAAGAAAATGTGTAAGCGATAACATTAAGGTAGATCGGAATGGATATCTGGTGCTATTCAGTATTACTGTTCTGGGGAGAGAAAAATCATTAAATAAATCTGAAAAACACACTATTTTGTCGACCATTAATCAGTTTTCATAGAACCGGTTCTACTTTAATTTTACAAAAACTGAAACGAAAGATTTATGTTGATAGCATTTTTTTATTCGTCTTGTTTATATCTAATTTTTTTAATAAAATGATATTGAGCCTTAGAGGGAATAAGAGTAAACAAAGAGTATTGAATGGAGATTGGAATGAATGAACAGAAAACTAGTGTAGGGAAGAACGTCTTCTGAAGAGACGGGTTGCGGTTTCGACGGTGAAACCGATACTGCAAAGACTTCAATGTTGGTATAAGAGGCGTCACGTACCTGTTTTTGGCTGCTGCTGCCCTGTCGCGCTGCCTCCTGTTTTTGAACCAGTTGCCGACCTGGGTCGGTGTGAGGCCGGTCGCCTGAGCCAACTCGCGCTTCTTCGTAGGGTTTGGGTACGGGTCCTGGAGGTACCACTCCCGAAGGAGGCTCCTCGTCCGCTCTTTGAAACAATGCGTCTTCTGCTCGCCGTCCCAGATGGTCCGCGGAAGTGGGAATTTCTTCCTGACCCTGTATTTGTCGACGGGTCCGAGCGGTCGGCCTCGGAGCTTCTCGGCCTCCTGGTAGTGTGCCTCGAGCCACATGGCCTGCAGTTTCCCGTGGGAGTCCTTGGTGAACTTGTGGTGTTCCAGGATGGTGTACATTTCCCTGAAGTTGCCACTGTGGAAGGAGACGATAGCCCTAGCTCGGAGGACGGCCTCGTTTTTGTTCAGCTCGTTGATGTTCGGGTGGGCGACGGGCAGAGACCAGAGGAACCTCGCCAGACGTTCTATGTCCCCGCTCTCCTCCAAGGTTTCGCAGACGGCGGCCACTTGGGAAACGGTGAAATTGAGCGTCGGCAGAGCGAACATGGGCGACGGCAAGGCGTGCGGAGGGACAGTCGTTCCGAGACCCAGCGCCATGGCGGAGCGACATTTCCCGACTGACTGACCTCCCCCCCTCGGAACGGCCCGGCGACCTTTGCACCCCACCCCCGGGGGCTGGCCCAACCCCCCTCCGCTCCGTCGCTATGGCGACCGCCAATCAAAACACGCCTCTCCCACATACGTACTAATTATTCCTCCCCTCTCGGCACGATTCCTTTTCAACACCCCTCTCATTTCCTTATTAATTAATACTACTTCATAAAAACAACGTCTTTCCTATAATTAACTGTATTACTACTGGAAACCCTTTCCTCTCGTTTTATTACAATTCAATCTTTATTTTTAATTGACTACTATAAAATCTCCACCCAGATAAACCAAACATTGGTTTCTACGAGCTTATAAAAAAAGAGTAATACAGCAAAAGAACTAACATTATTATTATTTAACATTTTATTATCTTATTAACTTACTTGATATAAAATATACAAAAATTTACCTTACGTCCACGGAAATGGACTTCTTGAAAATCAAATGTAAACCATAAGTTAATATTTGCAAGAAATTATAAATCATTTCCAAAAATAATATCCAATTTTAACTTGCTAACAACAGGAATTCCTAAAATGATATCTGTGTATATGGTATTTTTTATTCAGATACGTGCCGAATAAGACTTCCTACGCAATGGAAATAATAGAAATAATATAAAATCCGAATTACAAAAAAATTATATCCCTTTCAATAAAATAAATAAACAAATTCAATTCTTCCAAGTAAAATAGAAAAATTTCTATTGAAATCATACAAAAAGAAACTAAATATTTTCTTTTGCCAAACTGTTAACTGTTTGATTATACAAGATGTAGACGCCACGGACTTCTCTCAAGTTACTACTCGTTATGGCGAGAGCAACTTTAGTTTTTCTAACTATTGGCAAATGAACTATTTACATTTTTATATAACAAAAACCAAAATAACAAAATTTGGTTGACTTAACAAATGTAAACAAATCCAAAATAAAAATCCCTAATCATTCGAATGCAGGGCCGCTGGATTCGAACCCTAGACCTTTACCTTACGGTGATGAGCACCATGTCAACGCCTAAACCATTGCGGCCACCGACGCCCCCCTACATTACATATTACATTATATTATTTATATATTACCTATATTATTTCATTATATTCAACTTACATACTGAGAACAGTCTACTAGAGAACTAAAAACATCGAACGAGTTAAGGAGCGAATGGGTGAGAGAAATTTATAAAACACAAACATAAACGGGAGTAGTAGTTTGCGTTTGAGGGTAAAAAATGTTGGGATTTATTTTCATTTCTTTTTATTCTTCACATACGAAACCATGGTTCCGAAGGTAAGAAGGTGGTCTTGGAAGAATCGACGAAGAGGATTGTATCGACAACAACAATATGCTGAAAAATAACTTGATCAATTTTTTTGAACTGATTACAAAAAACATTCGACCCATTTATGCAAAATAATATACGCTTGATTGTACAGTAGAATATGGCATAAGAATTTTTTTTAACGTGTTGAAATGTTGATAATAAATCAAAATAGTGCAGAATTTGAAAGTACAGAATCGCGAAGAATCGGAATTGCCAAAAGAAAATTTACTCCGATATTGATATTATTAACTTGTTGGAGTCGCGAGGAGTGGTCAAGAATGAGGTAGTTTAGAAAAACACCTTTTTCATTTTTTTGACAACGTTCCTACCTTTATTCGGGTCACCTTCAGGGTCTGGGTGAGTTACAAAACATGTTGATTGGAAAAAATACAATATAGATATAAATACAAATTTTAAAACAAATATTTCATACTAGCATAAAGTGTGGTGCTACTCTTGAGGTGCCATGATGGTTTTGTGTGAAATTCTCGTGAAACATGAAAAATAATAGTTTCATACTTTATGTGAGTATGAAAGACTTGGTTCAAAATTTATATTTATATCTGTATTGTATTTTTTCCAACCAACATATGTTTCATCCATCCTCATGTTCATCCAGACCCTGAAGGTGACCCGAATAAAGGTAGGAACGTGGTCAAAAAAATGAAAAAGGTGTTTTTGTAAACGTCCTCATTCTTGACCACTCCTCGCGACTCCAACAATTATTAAACAATCGGTCACTAAATATCACACATATGCATTGATATTATTATATTCTAACACTTCTGTTCTAAATCTATTAGTCTAAACATTCTTGTCGCCTTATTTTCTCTTTTTATATGGCATTACCATATTTATTTGTAAGGGCGCGAGGGTGGGAGTTACCGAACTTCGGTGAAAGACAAGTAACGAACATGAATGATATTCAATTGTATATACAAGCTCGTGGTTTTAAAATTGTAATTTTTAAGGAAATACATCGAAAGAAAATTGGCCACGAATGAACATTTGTAACTTGTTAACTCCCGAATAACAATGTTACATTTGTTAACGGATTGGCCAACGGCAAAAGTATTCGGACCCTCAAAGGTGAAGAAACAGTGCATCAAGTCAGTTTCTCTCGGTATAACGTAATGTTTAAACATGTTTATCTGAATAAATCGCTCGCTTTTAAATATTTACACAATGTATTAGAGAATTTTTTACCGATTTGAGGTTAAAAAAAAGGTGACAATATCGAGAGATGTAATCAAGGGTGAATCAGTCATTTTGGAATGTAGATTTTCGATACAGCTAGTTACTAAATCTTCGCAAAAATATATTTTTTATTTATATGCTATCAGATAGTTAGGAAAACGTGAAATATTTTTATGCAAATGATATTATTGTAATAAATTTTAAAGTTTTTAACATAATTTACTTAGGGTTTTTCACTTGAAAAAAGTTTCTGTCAACATGGAAAGGCATGATTTTTTACGACAACTTGGTAATTAAAACATGTTTTTATTGTGTGATTGTAATTATTGAAGAAATTGTTTATATCTTCGTGATTTTGTTTTTATTGAAAGGTGAATTAGTCATTTTGGAATAGAGATTTTCGAGCCAGCTCGTTACTAAATCTTCGCAAAAATATATTTTTTATTTATATGCTATCAGACAGGAAAACTTGAAATATTTTTATGCAAATGTTATTATTGTAATAAATTTTAAAGGTTTTAAGATAATTTACTTAGAGTTTTACACTTTATAACAGTTTTTGTCTTCATGGAAAGGCACGAATTTTTGAAGCCAACTTGGGATTTAAAAGTTGTTTTTATTGTGATTGCAATTCTTGTAGAAACTGTTTATATCTTCGTGATTTTATTGATTTCTTGTACCAAATCTTGTACTTTGTACACTATACGTTGCATCGCTATGAATCCACAGTTGTAACATTTGTTAACGAATTGGCCAACGGCACAAGTATTCACACCCTCAAAGGTGAAGAAACAGTGCATCAAGTCAGTTTCTCTAGGTATAACGTAATTTTTAAAAACGTTTATCTGAATAAATCGCTCACTTTTAAAGATTTACACAATTTATTAGAGAAATTTTACCGATGTGAGCTTTAAAAAAGGTGATAATATCGAGAGTTATTATGTTATTATTGTAAGGGTTTTCCACTTTAAAACAGTTTTTGTCTACATGAAAAGGCATGAATTTTTAAGCCAACTTGGGATTTAAAAATTGTTTTTATTGTATGATTGTAATTCTTGTATAAATTGTTTATATCTTGGTGATTTTGTTTGTTTCTTGTAAGTAATGTACCAAATCCAAGTAGGAATGCTGAAATTGAGCAATCTTCAAATGATTAGGGTTGTAGCACCAGTACACTCAATTTCACTTTTTTTGTCGCCAGGAATTCGACTCGAGGACGAGGAGAATAAATTGTGCCGGATTGCTCAACGGCGAACGCATTCCAAATCTTTGAAAGGGAAGAATGCGAAGAATGAAAAATAAAGAGGAGCAACTCTGGGGGGGTAGGTTTTCCCGTCGGAGTCGCGCAACATCCCCTCCCAGAGTGGTACGAAACGCAACACTTGTCAATACGCCGCATTCCCTGGATGTTTGGATCCGGTGGAGATGAGATTTCCTCACTTTCTCGCTCTCCATCTTTGTTGAAGGGGCTCCCGTCTCACATCGATCCCTCCCAACGTTCAAACACACCTCGCCTGCCAACACACCGCCCCTTCTCCTTTGGATACCCGGGGTGAAATCCTTACTGCCTCTTTCCACCCCTTTCCAGCCCGCAAAACAACCACAGAACCGCAACCACCGTCAATACAGTTTAGTCCACAGACCCTTCTTTTTTCAACTATAAAAAAGTTCTTCAAAAGCTTCAATTAAAAAATCACCCTTGCTATCATAACATTAAGAAAGAATATCAAATTTAAAATTCAGTATGCTTGTCGTTAAAGCCCACAGTAGAACCTACATAAAACAAATTTCAAGTCATTTTATACTATTTACATTTTTACATACTATTTACAGTTTAAATTAGATGAACTGCCAAACGATCGTTGACGGGCAACGATAGCCCTATGACCCCGGAGACAAGCGGATGCCCAAATTACGAAAAAATATTATGTCGGGAAGAATAGCAGAATATTTGAATTACAACGACCGACAAATTAAGAGAAATAAAATTGTTGGTTAAACATTGGGCCATGGAAAGAATGAAGAGGCTCTTGCCTCTTGGCCACACCAGGTTGACATTGGCATCTCCTCATTAACAACACATTAACAACCTTTGAGGCGCACTAGTAAGTATGAGATAAATTCTATTGTGAACTGTACGTGAACAAGGTGTGGCCTATCATCGAGTCTCAAAGAACTTCTGAAACAGCAGTGATTGCAGCGAAAAATTGATTAATACCCTAAGCGGATCAATGCACACGGTCGCGTTTAAGTCACTTTCACGCGTGGTTATTGATTGAATGTATTTATTATCTAGAGTGTTTTGAGTATGTGTGGTTGTGTTAGAAAGTATCCCACAACGCACACCAAAGTAGGTTAGTTATTACACGTTTGTAGAGGGATTGGTAGTACGTTTAATTATATACAGAATTAAACATACAAGTGTTACAGGATTCAATGTCAATACAGCCCTG